TCAGTTGATTTCTTGGGAAGTAACTACGAATTTCTTCCATTTGGAGCCGGAAGGAGGTCATGTCCAGGTATGAACTTTGGCTTAGCAAATGTTGAGCTTCCTTTAGCACAACTTCTCTACCACTTTGACTGGAAACTTCCTAAAGGAATGAAACACAGTGCAGTCGATATGTTGGAGGGAGAAGGAATAACTGTGCCAAGGAAAAATGGTCTATACTTGATTCCCACACCCTACAACTCTTCCATTGATGGCTGTATATTAATCCAACAAAAGGAGGGTTGAAAGAAGCTTTGAACTTGTTGCCAATGAAATAAACATGCCCAAACCCTTTTATTTCTTAATTTATCTGAATAATTTCCTAGATTACATTAAGTTTCTTCCGTCTTCTAATTCGTGGTAATATTTGTATCATTGTCTTGTATAAGACCAGAATCTATAATTAAATATTTATTAAAACTATTATATATTACGTGTATATCTTGTTAGCTATATTTTATTGTTTTCTATGATGTTAAGTGCTAGGTCTCTATTTATAATTGGCTATTCCTTTGTCAAAATTAAAGTAATGGAGTTGAAATTAAAGTGTCAATGGATTGGTAATATAAATTTTGAAGGAGTCAAAGAGTTCAACTATGTCCAAAAAGATCACATATGATCCATGGGATGCAATTAGAAGTCAAAGTGCCATAGAAGTCATGCTCCAAATTCGCAATCACAAGTTGCAACGCAATTTTCACATTAAAAATATTCGAATTTAAAAAATGCTACTTCTAAAAGAATTGTAACCCTTTGAGTTAGGTTTTCAAAGCATTTTGAATCTCCACAATTCGATAACGAGAGAGAAAGATAAAATTAAAATACTGACAACTGCTTGGAGAGAGTTCGTTGGCCGCCCTCTAGGTGCTTGAGCTCCCAAAACTAAACCTTGGTCGCTAGCTAAGTGTTAGCCTGACGCTTGAGCGGCTGTGTTACGTGGTGAAACCCTATTTCGCTTTTTTTTTTTTTTAGCCTTTTTACAATTCTAAACCACCTCAAACACTTCATACTATATGTCCCCAAGCCATTATTTGTTCCAAACTATCTCTGCGCCGTTGGTTGAGCTATTATTCATTCAAGAGAACACCCTACAGTGATCTAACATCAATTCTAGTAATCTCTTAATTAACCACAAGATCAAAATGTAAGATCAAAATATCAAACATAAAAAAACATTTACCTTCTCCAATGAGCCTTCAGAGTTTTGAAGTTGGGAAGAGACAACTGGAGTTCCAAAATGAGTTCGTTCTTGGAGATCTACGTGGAGGGAAAAGAAGTCTAAAGTTACTAGAAAGTGCAGGCCGCACAATCGAAGAGTTCTTCGGTTATTTACAAGTTGGGAGGTCAGAATCTACCAACAAAAACAGCCTTCGCCAACGTTCAAAAAATGTTGCCATAGGCCTACGGCAATGTTTGGACGTGTATTGCAAATCGAGGTGTTGTCGTAGAGTAGAGAAATACGACAACATTTTTTGAACTTTGCAAAAGTCTGTCTTTCGCAACGTTTGTCAAACGTTGCCGTAGCTATCTACTGCAACATTTGCCAAACGTTGCCGTAGACATGTTTTTATTTTTTTTATTTAACCACAATTTATTCAAATGGATTGGCAAAATTGAAAATACACCTTATGAACAAAATTTTGGAATTGCATAAATATTGATAATTTCATTACAATTTTTTGAATCCATACACTTG